GAAACCTGGGCGTAGATTAACGGACAAACAAAGTGTCTAATCCCCACAGTTGCACCCCGCAGGGAGTGTGCTCCTGGTACATGGCACAAGAGTGTTCGCACAGATGTCTGCCACCTTCTGCTTTCACATCAGGCTTGTGTCTGGCCCTGCACGCTGTTCAAAAGAAGTAGATATGTAACAACACAACACTTCTGGTTTTACCATCCTCAGAAAGGGCAGTTTACTGGGGAATTGAGAGGTGGGATAAAGAACAGAATTGTTCTGTCCAAACCTGTTTGCAGGGATCTGCAGCTGGCTAAATCACAGGTACATCTTCAAAGCTGGATGTCAGTAGGTCCTTATGCAGGTGTTGCCCTCTGCAGTGTGCTGAACTGACTCTATTTATTACTTTTTATTTACAAATGGCTGCTGCTTTTTATTCTGTGAACATTTGAAAGAGTGCTCTTGGTCCTACAGTCTCTCTTCCACACATGCACACCTTCTGCAGTTGTGCTGCTGTCTCTGGGCAGCTTTCACGCAGAAAAATGGTGTCTGTGTGAAGTCTTTGAAGGAAGGTGCCTCCTGTCACCTCTGCTTACCTAGAACAAGTTTTCTGGTTCAGAACTGAAATGAAACCATCTGGAGAAAGAATCTCCCGATAAAATACTCCTTAATTTAAAGAGGTTGCACATTTAAAATGTCTAGATCTTCTGTGGGAACACACTGATTTCATCAACATTTTCAAGTAATAGAGCTGAACTGTTTCAATCAAGTCAACATTCTTCCTTTTGACTTTATGTTATGGCTTTGATTGAAGTAAATCACTCTGAGTATATTGCTTTGCAAAAATGTCAGAATTTATAACTCCTAGGCCCCAAATTGAATCGAAGTAAGCATTTTGAAATCTTGTTTTTTTTAAATCCACTTCCCCTGCCGAGAGACAGGAATATGATGTTTTTCAGCTGGTGCTAGTTATAATTTTGATGGGTGCTGCTGTTAGCCTGGGATGTCCTGTCACACAGATACTGGTTTAATTTGCAATACGAAGCATTCTCATTTCCTTTTCCATGAAGATGACTGCCTGTAGATCATGTTCATTTCAACTCTTTAAAGCTGGTTTTCCATTAAAAAAGGCTTTGCCATTCCTAGGAATAATTTTTAAAGATGGACTTGAGGAATAAGGAGCTCCTTTGTGGTCCGGCCATCTTTTATTTACTGCTAATCTACCTCACAGGTTTACTTCTGTTGACTTCAAGGGACATGGTTCCAATCCAGAGCATTGGCCCACCCTTTCATGGGCACTCATGCTTTCTCAGGACGCACTGTGTGTGTAGGATTGGCAAGAGCTACTTTAATAGTGGTCCAGTATGACCCCCCTAAAGCCAACAGGGTTAACGCTTGAACCAAAGAGGAGCAGGATATGCAGCGCAGCAGGTTAGGAAACTCCACAAAAGACGTAAATTGAAGTCCTCTTGGTCATGATGCAGTGCATGAGAACTGGGATGGCACTGGGGTTGTTTTGCTGTAGAGCTCTGTAAAGCTTTGAACAGAGACTTTGAAAGACCTTTAATTTTATGTGACATCTCCCCCAGCTGAGCAGCAAAGGTCAATGACGTTGGTAAGATTGGGTGAAGGACAAAGTTGAGTAAAAAGACCTGATTCTTATTTAGGTGAAGCTCTTGCGTATTGTCCTAGTTGTGTAAAAGGACATTAAAGAAAGCATTAAACTAGTTAATAGAAACAAATTATTTCAGTAATATCCATCAATCTTAAACTCCCCAGAGAGTGCATTTCTTACTCTCATGGTATACGGACCTTTATTTTACAGCTCCAGCTTTTGATGCCATTACCAAGTAATTAGCTGCTGTCTCCAGAGCATTGTTTCAGCACTGGCGAAGGGCACAGATCCAGAGGCAGTTCACGTCGGCTGTGTGGGCTGGCAGGAGCACACACGCTCGCTCTGGAGGGATGCGATTCTCAGTGGGGCTCAGTAGTCGTGGCTGTGTGCTTCACTCAAAGCTGTTATTTCTCTGTGCCTGAAGCAGAGACTGTCTCTTTGATATGCAAGCTTATTGGGTGTGGGGAACAGATGGAGAAGGCACAGGGAAAATGAAATGGTTTGAAGGAATAAAAAGAGATGCTTTTGTTGGAATCACTACACCAGAATCAAGGAGCCTCTGATGAGGGAAAGTGAGCCTGAGGATAGGGAAGACTGTGGTGTTACAGGCACAAAAAGGATTTCAGCCTTATCAGTTTGAGGTTGGTAGCTTGAGAAACCAAATGTTGAGGGATGTGGAAATGATCAAAAGAGAAGGGGTAGAGAGCTACTGAATAAGGCATTGAGCAGAAAGGGTGAGAGGCAGGGAGCAGGACAGGACTTGCTACAGGAGGGGGCCCGCGAGCTCTCTGAGCCCCTCCATGGGCAAGAGGCAAGGGAGCAAGGAGAGGAACAGAGGAAAAACTGGAGGTGACCTGGACAAGCACACAAACCCTTGGGCAGAAAGGGGGTACAGATGAGGAGGGGAGGAGGTCAAGGGAGGGCAGTTGAGCAACTCCTTTCACGAAAACAGGACTGCCCCATGATAAATGCTCAGCTGTGCTTGAACCTCTAGGCATGCCAGATAGAAATCATGACTGGCTTTCTGCTTCTTGCTTCAGGATACCAGGTAATTTGGTGGTTTTTTATTGAGTGTTCAAGTTCATGCCTGAGAAGTGAGTGCTTGTTTTGGGAAACCTGAATGTACAAGCAGGGCAGGCAGACATCATTCCCAAGGATGTCCTGCTGCCATTGTCACCTCTACCGGATGGGCTGTGCTGCACCAGGGCAGCAATAGCTGACTGTGCACAGTTGCTGTTGGGGTGATGCATGCAAGTTTGCCCTTTATGTGGCCCACAGGTGCTGATTACCAAGGCAGTGCTTGTGGCCTATCTTTGTGCATGCGGAGGCTGGCCAAACCTGCGACTCTTGGCACCTGATCAGGGTCCCCAGCCTTCCCAAGCCTGGGAAGCACCGGTGTGGGGGAGAGAGGCATGGGCCAGGGCAGTGCTGAGCTCGGCTGCCAGCAGCAGTGCTCTGGCAAGCACAGATTCTGACCAAGGGACTTCGATGTGCTGAAGCATTAAAGCCAAGAGGTACCAATATGAGGGGATGGTGACAAAATCCTACTGTGGGACCTTACAGAAGCAGCTAGTCTTTAATTGTCCTTCTGTTCATTATTTCCCAGTTAAATCTATTTAATAATTACAAATTTGGATTACCTGGAAAAGCTGCTGAAAGTAGGATAAAAATTAATAAATCCCAGGTTGGATTCTGAAGAATTCATTTCAGCACCACATATTGAAAATTCTCATTCATACAAAAAATCCTAGGTTTGAGAGCAGTTCTGAAGAAGTGGGATTCTTCCAAGCGGTTATTATTACTTTCTGACAATTTTATTTTTCTTTCAGTCAATATCCTTTAGCACATGCAACTCATCTACTCAAATTAGTAATAGAAAACCTACAGTTGCAAGAATTGTATCTCTGTACAACGTACTGAAGTAATTCAAATTCCGGGGCAGAACTGTGGAAATTCTTAGCACAGTTTGTCCGTATCTTATCAGAACAGGCACGCTTTTCCCACGGCCTGGCCGCTTGCCAGCACTGCCGACGCAGACTTGTTGGAAGCCCGGGTTGAATGGGAGAAGTAATCTTTCTGAATGGATTTTCTGGCAGGGTTCCTGTTGCGTGTGTGGTTTATTGTTCTTGTTGATGTGACTGCATTTTACCCCCTAGATAAATGTTTTAGGGTCCTTTTTTTTTTTTTTTTTTAAAATGATGGGAGGGGTTCTGGAAAAATAATCAGATTGCTAATTCTGTAAAATTCTATAGGCAAAGTTTTTTCTGTTTTAAGTACTTTGTTAATTGTGTAGCTGTTTGGGCATGCTTTTGATATAAAGGACAACAGCTGATTTACTTTAACTCTTAAACTGTTCTGTGGTCGAAGGATTTAGTAATTAAAAAGCAAACACCTTTCTTTTCCTCAATGCATTTTAACAGAATGTTACAATGCCAATCAATTTATATATATATATATTCCATTCATAGTGTAGTAATTCACTGTGAGGTATTACTGGTGTTGTCAGAAGTAAAAGAAGTGGTTGCCAATGGTGGCATATCCTCAGTTGGTGTAAACAGCCACTGCATACACAGTTGTAATTCTAGTGAAGTCAGAGTCGATCCCTCTGTGTGCTACAGGCCTGCTGTGAAGCTGTGCCAACTTCTGTGAGCTGAGGATCCGGCCCCTAATATGTATTACAGGATAGCTAATATGATGTTTAACCACACGCTAACCGCAATATACAAAGAAGTTCTATTTTAGCACTGCTGGGGCAAAAAAACAACTGTTAATGCCTAAGATGGAAGTGGGAAAGATGGCTAAGTGGGGGAAGGAGGCAGAAAAAAAACTCCTTTCATTTTGTGTTAACATATGTACAGACAAATTCTCACGTCTCAAGGCTAAGTTTTGTCTAAGAAAGATCTTTAAGATTTGGGTCTTTGTAATTAAAACATAAAGAATAGTTATCTTAAACTTACATCTGCAGAGGAAGAACTGTGTATTTACTTATTTTCTGCCAAAAAAATCTTTCACTTTTTAGCAAGAAAGATTAACAAAAAGACACTGAAGTATAAAGTCCTTCTTTTTATTGAACTGTGTATACATTTTGTGAACAGATTCAGAAGAGAACAGTCACAATCTTTCTTTCTTTTTCAAAATGGGGTTGTGGGAGAAGCATGCAATTCCAAACTTAGTGCCTACAATGCTTGGAAGACGTTATGATTAATTACGTACTTAGGTTTCCAGATGTTGGATTTTGTCCCAACTTTTAAAGACCTCTAATGTTTAACAGGATGTGTGCTGAGTATAGTCTTTAACAGAGTTTTCTTTCATAACTCTAGGATATATGAGAAAAGGTAACTCGGGAAAACACTGCAGATTTGGAGCTGAATCTACAGCCTTCTAGGAAAAGACAGAACATTAAATGTGCAAGTTTAGACTGGAGCTGTATTTGTTTGGGAAGACTATGGATAGGTACCAGAGCTGGCAGCAGAGCTGTTTGAATGCCGTCCTCCTTGTGCTGCTGTGGAACAGCATTTCCCATGCACAGAGGGACTGCACGGGTGCGGAGTGCCAGCCCCTGGACAACTGCATTGAGGACGTGCTGGAGCCTGGCGAGTGCTGTGCCACATGTCTGCAGCACGGCTGCACATGCGAAGGCTACCAGTACTACGACTGCGTCAACGTGGGCTTTATCAACGGCAAAGTACCTGAAGGGCAGTCTTACTTTGTGGACTTTGGAAGCACTGAGTGCTCGTGCCCCAAGGGAGGAGGCAAGATCAGCTGCCAGTTCATGCTGTGCCCAGAGCTGCCCCCAAATTGCATTGATGCGGTGGTGCCAGCTGACGGGTGTCCTCAGTGCGGGAGAATAGGTTGCCTCCATGAGGGCCAGAAGTATGTAGCGGGGCACACCTTCCACATGCCCCCCTGCAAGGTTTGCCATTGCCCGAACGCTGGTGGCGAGCTGATGTGCTACCAGCTTCCAGACTGTAACACGTTCACCTTAAACACTGCAAGTCCAATAGACGCTGAAGATAGCGAACCGGAGCGGCACTACGACGATCCGTACAGCTACGACCAGGAGGCACCAGAAGGTGACAACACCCAGGTGGAGTCTCCAAAAAAATACACGAGTTATGCATCCCACCTAGAGCAAGAGAGCATCAGCCAAGAGCAAAGCGAGGATTATGACTACCTACCAGCCAGTGTTGCTCCTTCAGCTTTGGCTTCGGCAGATCCGTACACCGAGGAAACGGCTGCGCCACTCACCACACCAGCGCCTAAGGTCCCCTCTGAAGTTCGCAGCGCCACAGAGAGAAGTGAGCGAAAGAGGGTGCTCCGCACCACTGCAGCATCCCTCCAGCAAGTGATGCGGAAGGAAGCACCAGTAACCACCAGTGCTCCTGCAGAGCACACAACGGCCACCACTGAGACAGCCAAACACCTGGAGGAATTGGAGAGGAGACCAAAGGCGAAGCAAGGGGACAAAGACAGGCATGAGCAAGAAAGAGCCCCCCACTCTAAAATGAAAAAACATGCCAGAAAAGAAGACCCAGGGAACAGCATGTATCTAGGCTTGAAAGAGGTGAATTTAACAGAGCCGAGTTGGTCAAAATCTTCCCGTGAACCGCACGAGGGAAACACCTTTCCCAAAGTGAAGTTCAGTGCAACAACCTCTCCTCCTGTTGCTCTAAAGGAAGACCGTAGTCAGCCATCCCAAAAGCTGTCACAGACGCTTTATCGTTACCATCCCGAGGAAGATGGGGATCCCAACTCCATTCACGCTAACCCCAGGTTACCAGAAGGTAAGAACTACTTCCGGTATAGATGCCTGGAGAACATTTGCTCGCAGTAATGCAGGTGCCTCTCCACTGTCCTTTTCTTCTCACTGCTCCACATGGGCATGAAATGAAGCAAAACTCCCATTACCTGCTTTCATCTCTTTCAGATGATGGCTTGTGTTTCATTTGATGTAATAAATAGCATTTAACTATTGTCTTCCTTGCTTTGATACTGCAGACTGTGGATGGTGTTCTCTGCCATTTCAACTTTATTTCAGATGACTTGTTAAACTCTGACCTTTTCCTTCCATTACTTGCCTTTAATTTCTAATGTGATGGTTGAGAAACATCTTACTCTACACAAAAGGATTTAATTAGTTTTCTGCTTGGATCCTCCAGTTACCAACTGAATGTAATCACATTTGTAGCTTTTGTCTTTTGCTGAGGAGGATATGAAACAGTTGTGCTTCTACTATGAAAATATTTACAGCACTTGTAATATTTATCCTATGGTTGAAAGGCTGTCCAAGCTCGTTAGTACCAGGGCTTGATAGATACACTCAAATAACCCTGAGGACTAGTAGAGAGAAAAAAGACTGCCTCTTGCTTTGCTTTTTTGGGGGGCTGGAATTTTATGATGTTTATGATCAACTGTGGCAAGTGAATGCGTTTCCTCTCTGCCTCTGGATTCCTCTTGACATCCGCAGTGAATGTTGATTATATGCTTTATGCACTGCTCATTACTGTAATGAATGCAAAATTCATCGCTATAAATTAGCACATATACAGCTCATATTTCCAATTCATTTTTCATCAAATCAAGACTAATATCTCCTTTTTCAAGATGTGGCACAAAATGTTCTCGTGAGACTCAAACGTATAACACTTGCAGTCTGAGTCGAGAATACTGATTACTCCCTAGACGGTGGTATTTCTTCCTAGGTTATCTAGGTGGCCCTTAAACATGTTGAGCTGCCTAGTCCTTCTGCTCAAAAACTCTAAGGTAGACAGGTGGAGGGCAGATCTGCAGCTGAAACTCGAGGTCCCAACACAAACAGCACCTCATGACTGTTTACCAAAGACAAGACGAACTAGGTCCATGAATGGAGATGGTAGCCTTTTCTTTTTTTTGACTTCCACTTATGTTTTTATTGTAAATGTTGACCTCACAATTAGTGATAGCAGCTGTAGTCTGAGTCAGACCTTGACTTCTTGATTGCACCAAAGCAATGTTCTGGAAACCAGTGTAACCTGAAGAACCTCGCT